GAAACGGCCATCAGTGACAAATAACAGCGACATTACAACATTAAAAGAAGAAATCCTCTTAAATTCAAAATGATAGTATTAGGAGATCTGGTCTTCATTAAAGGACCAGTAAGTCTATTTACTGTCCAGAGACCTCTTCCTAACACAGCCCCTTTAACTGGGCCCAGGCTTGTCTCGGTTGGGAGCAGTGTAAGCCACCAGTATTCATCCCTAGGTAGATTTGTGGAAGCAGCATGTCCAGACCTGGCAGGCTCTCCACCGCTCAAATGCCACCAACTCAGAGTACTGCCTGGTCATATTATAATTTACATGCTTGCCTGGTTTACTGTCTGTCCTCCCCCTTAGAATGTCAACTGAGGCCAGGGGTCTGAGCTAGCTTGCTATCATATTCATCTCCAGTGCTTGGCTCATCAAAAGCCCTCAAGAAATACTTGCCATGGGACCAGTAGTTAGCGTAATGGCTATGTTGCTGGACTCCCACGTAGACGACTGTGGTTCGAGTCCCAGACCCAGCAGCTTAAATGCACGCTGGGCGTGTGTGCGTGCATGCCCAAGATCCCGAGAGGAGAAAGGAGGAGAAGAGATTGCGGCGTGGCCATCCCCCCCGGGGGAGTGATTTCTTGCTTTCTGTCTCTCTGTTTCTGTCTTTTTGGCGAGCGCACGCGCCCTATAGAAAAAAACTCTCCCCCCAAAAAAGGGAAATACTTGCCAAATAAATTAACACACTTCTAGTTCTTTTTCTACTGTATTTACCCATTTACTTTGAGAATCATGTTCTTTTTGCCTCTTAGTAGCGTCCATTTTGTACTTTTAGGCTTTCCTGATGACTGGTAAGTAGTGTTGGGTCTCTGTTTCAAATGCAGCTGGTATTTTCTGCTCATGGAAGAGACTGGACAAGGGTCAGCAGATGATGTGGTGGTTAAGACACTGGATTCTTGGGGCCAGCAGTTGGCGTAATGGCTGTGTTATTGGACTCTCATGTAGTCGACCGCAGTTTGAGTCGCAGACCCCATGGCTTAAACTCAAACCGGGCATGTGTGCCCAAGATCCCGAGAGGAGAATGGAGGAGAAGGGAGTGCCATGTGGCCATCTCCCCCCCCCCCGGGGGGGGCAGTGATTTCTTGCTTTCTGTCTCTCTGTCTCTGTCTTTCTGGTGAGCGCATACGCCCTATAGCAAAAAATCTCTTAAAAAAAAGAAAAAAATGACACAGGATTCCCACATGGCCAACCGTGGTTTGAGTCCTGGACCTGGCGGCTTGAAAAATCACATTAGACATGTGTACGTACATGTACAAAATCCTGAGAGGAGAATGGAGGAAAAAGGAGTGCTGTGTGGTCATCCCCCCAATGTGTGGGAGGGAATTTCTCACTTTCCCTTTCTCTGTGTCTCTCCAGGGAGTGCATGTGCCCTATGGCAAAAAGCTAAGAAAAAAAATTAAAAAAAGAAAGAGAGAGACTAGAGAGCCATTCTCACAAAGGCACGATTTCAAAGAGCATGGTTAAATCTAACTGCTTACTTTTTAAAATCAGTGTAGTTATTTATAAAACGTATTCTTTCTGTATTATAGTGAAAAGAAGAGATTGGACTTGGAAAAGAAACTCTGTGAATATAATCAGTCTGATATATGCAGGTAAGATTGTTTTTAAGTGAACTTCAATACGTTAATAAAAAAATTTTTACCTTAACATATGTCATAAATGCCACAGCTGGAGTGCTTTTACCCTTCTCTTATCTCCATGCTTGATCTTAGCCAAAAGACTGAGAAGTGATCTCTATTCTCTTATTTATAGTGTGTAATAAATTGAAGTGAGAACTGCAATTTAATCTAAATTATTGGTAAACACTATCAAATAAACAATAAATGCAGTGAAAGTTAGTATGAGGTAAACATTATTTTTGTTATTTGGTATTTGTGTTATTTCAGGAATCTATTTCTCAGATACCTTAAAATAAGACGCATTGTAGTTTCATATTTTGGTTATGATTTAAACACACTGGGCTCATGTCATGAGCGAGGCATATAGGTGGCCTTCACAGCCTGTTTCCACGTCCCGGGATCCAACCAACTGTGGACTGGAAACATTTGAAGAAAATTGGTTGCATCTATACTGAGCATGTACAGATTCTTTTCTTGGCATTATTCCCTAAACAATACAGTATAACCACTATTTACATAGCATTTGCATTGTATTAGGGATTACGAGTAATCTAGAGATGATTTAAAGTGTATGGGAGGATGCACACAGGTTATATGTAAATACTCCTCCATTATCTAAGGGACTTGAGCTTCTGTGGATTTTGATAACCACGGGGTGTCCTGGAACCAATCCTCCTCAGATGCCGAGAGACGACTGTAATTACGTAGCTGATCATTCAGCGAATTGCTGTAGACGGGGTTACCTGGTGTCTCGTTTGTTCACAGACATATGAGGATGACTGCTGAAATTACTGTAAGCAGTGGATAATATACATGTTATCCTTTTTAGGTTAGTTATTCTGAAACTAAGAGCAGATTTTAGTATTTTAATTTCTACTTCATAGAAACCGAACTTCATTCTTAAGCCAAAGGTATAGCATTATCTCTGATATTAGTCATATGAACAGTCTCTGATTATAATGACGTTAAATTTGTGACTTATCCCTGTCACACTATAAGTGAGAAATGAAAAGATCTTATCCAGAAGAGAGAAAGGGGCCAAGAATACTTTAAAACCAAACCACCCATTAGGTTCCTTTATTTCCTCATTCTCAAAATTATTCTGTTTTTCACGTTTAGGCTTCTCCCAAACTTTCCAGTCAGTGCACAACCTTATGTTTCAAGTGCATCTGGCATCTTCAGCTTCTTAGCGAGACCAGGGGAGCATGTCTCCAGCCACTTTAAAGGAGACATGGAATAGTTCGTCTTGCCTCTGGAAGTAGTAGCAGCCTTGTGGACATCATGTGCAGGAGTAGGCCCACGACCAAGAGGATCCATGGCAGCTGCCGTTCTTCTAGCCACGCCTAGGGGCAAGAAGATGGATGTCGACTGGTCCTGTGGCCTAGCCTTAGGCAGCTTTCTGGCATAAGGTGGTGTGAGGGGTGAGTGATAGCATGAGTACCTCTACCAAACTCTCAGTTGCTGAGTTTGCCCCTCTCTTAGACTCTTGCTTCCTGAAGGACAGAGGATACAATTTGCCAACTTTATTTTTTCTATTAAGTTTATTTCTTTCTTTCATATGAGGCAGAGAGAAGCATCCCCAGGAGACCTTCACACTGCTATCCACATCCAGCCTTGACTAGCCCAGATCATGGCTGTATGCTTACGTGCCTGGCATGCACAGGGGGCCTTGGCATGCCAACCCAGGACCTTATCCCGTGTGTTCAGCATCACAGAGCTTTGCTTTACTGCTGCATCCCCAAGTCTAAAAAATAGGCTTTCTTTGACTGCCTGTAGGATAAAATCTAAACTAACATGGCTGCCCCAGCATTGTTCCCATTGGAAAACTGAGACTAAGATGAGGGGTTGTGAGTAGGTGATAGTTCCATTGAGGAGGTGAGCACATGAAACTGGAGAGCAGGTCTGGGAAGAATGAAACAGGAGCTGATCACCTCTGTGGTCCTGGGCCCCACCCTCTCACATCTTCAGAGAATCTATGGAGATTGCCCCCCTGCTCCACCCTAGTGTCCACTCAAGCAAAGGGAGATGTGACTCTGTTCCTACTGGTTCCTGTCCACTACTGGTCAAGGCCATCTCAGGTGGATTTAACTTTCTCACATCTCTCTTAGAAAGCAGCCCTGAGAAGGCAAGGCAGACGCTGTCAGGCCCCACCAGTGGAGCTGGTTGCTGTAGCCATGGCTGGCAGAACGGGATGGGAGGAGGGCATTGGAGGGGTTCCGTATAACAGCCTGCCAGACCTTCATCATATGCTCCGTTTTCAGCATCACCATCTCTTTCTAGACTCCCCGCAAAAAAAGTCTGTACTGACTGACTGACTCTCCAGTTTCCTAAGTATGAGAAGATCTTTGTCATACAGCAGTGCAGCATGAACACATAGGCTCTATTGTTTGGCGCCTTGGTTCAACTTGAGCCGCAGTCGCTCTTAGCCATGTGACCTTTGTCATCTACCTCTACTTTCCTTCTTTCTTTCCTTTCTTCCCTCCCTTCCTTGCTCTTTCTCTCATAGACAGGCTGTCACCGTGTTATGATCCTCCTACCTCAGCCTCCCTGCTGGGACCACAGGCGTGTGCCATTATGCCAGCTCGTTACTGTCCACATTGGCCTTGAGTTATGTATCCTCCTGCCTCTGCCTCCTGAGTCACGGGGATTACAGGCTGGTGTCACTGTGCTTTTAGGCTGCACCAGGAGCTGAACCCCGGCTTCTCATGTGGTCCTAGCCTGGAAAGCACAGCATCTTAGCAGTGTGGCATGCCACTTCAGCCGGGCCGGTGCCTCCGTGTTTTCACCTATCAAATGGGAATGATGGTGATGAGAATGCAGTGAGTTAAAAGCATATGGACCCATAAAGCAGTATTTGACCCAGAATAAGAGTCAGTAATTAATTTATTTATTACTATTTTTTCAGTATCCTTGTTATTCTTCTCAGTGGTTGCCTTCGAGCTTTCCAACATGCTGTTTCCCCTGCCTGGAATGTTTTTCCCTCTTCCTTGTATTCCTGCTCCTCCCAGTTTTAGTAACTTTTATCCCTTTTGACTCTCAGTGGAAAACTATGGGAAGGTGTCTAGCACTTTGACGAGGTCAGGTTGCCAAGTCTTAGTTTCCCTCGTAACATTCATCACACAACATTTGCTTAATTCAGTTGTTTATTTTCCCTGTTGGCCCTAGCAGGATGGCTTTCTAATGTGGATGCTGAGCTTATGACTGATTCCGTGGATGGATGGATGACTTATGTGATCAGCCTTAAAGGTTATTGTGGTGGCAGAAATAGAACTAAGTCTGGGTGGAGAAGGCCTGGTTTATATTGTAGCTACTCCAGTTAGATCCTGGACACCACCCGCAGCTCTACTCAGTGCCTGAGTGTAAAAAACAGTATATTTGGTTCCACCTCCAAGGCTGTGGCTTATGTCAAAATGCAGACATGAGCAGCTACAAAAGCAGTCAGGTTTTTTTTGTTCAGAAAGAAAAACAGAGATAAATAACCATGGTCAGCAAAAATTAGTAGTACAATAAAGAATTTCTTGAAAATTGTTGGCCCAAGGTTTGAAGTCTGTGGTTGATTATTTTTGGACATCTGCAGCATCTTTGCAAATGCACATTTTTTAGAGGGAGAGTGTGTGTGTGTGTGTGTGTGTGTGTGTGTGTGTGTGTCTGTATGTGTGTGTTTAGGTTTTTGCTATAGGGTGCATGCACTCACCAGGAAAAAAAGAGACAGAGAAATACAGAGAAAGAGAAAGTGAGCAATGAACCCCCTCCCT